ACTCAAAGTTTCATGCATGTAGCCATTGTCAAATAAAAGTCTGACCTAAAACTTCTTTCTTTAGAGAAGAAATAAATGGATAGATTAAAAATAAAAAGTTGTGTGTTTATATATATATACACAGAGATGAAAAGATGAAAGCATAGATAAATAGAAACATTGATAATGATCATACTGAGATAGCTAGATATGAACACATTGACATATATATATATATATATATATATATATATATATATATATATATAGATAGATAGATAGATAGATAGATAGTGAGAGAGATTGATATGAATAGATCAAAGCAGAGATAGATAGATGATAATGTTCAGACTGAGATGGATATGAACAAACTGATATATAATTATATATATATATATATATATATATATATATATATATATATATATAGAGAGAGAGAGAGAGAGATTGATATATCAATATATCAATATCTATCTATCTCTCTCTCTCTCTAAATGTAAACAGAAAAAAGAAATATAGCAAATACATGAGTCGAAGTGGCAGTTACTAAAGTTAATCCAGCTCAACGTTATTCAATAGATATTTGTTCTTATGTCTACATACAAACATTCTTATACCAAACTTTATTTCATCAATGCTACAAGCATTTACTATATGCTATTTATATATATATATATATATATATATATATATATATATATATATATAAATAAAAAAGAAAGAACAGTAAGATATATAATCCGGTGTTCTTATAGATAATTTTATTTTTTACAAAATAGTGCTCAACGTAAATTTACAGAGCATTAATATTATAAATTAATTGATTTAAAATATGGTTATTTTCACTACACAGTTCTAACCATGTTTCAAAAATGGAAGCTAAAAAAGCCCCGAATTTAATTTTTTTTGTAATTAAATTGAAGACATTAGTTCCATTTCATCCTCAACCGAATTTTGGGTAACTTTTAAAATTACTGGGTTTTAAAGACACATCTTAAATCATAATTCACGTTTCCAAGGTTACAGATAAATCCACTTCAACTAGACAAGGGGTGGTTGCGTGTTCATAATGTCTGTATTTTGATGTATCAGTTATTAGTTACGCTTTGGTTGGGGGTAGGGATGTATTTTTCAATGAAATCTAACATCCGTTAAATGCATGTCGTCTGGATTTTTTAAATATACAAATAGGAAAAAAAATGCCGTAAGAATTTTTGCTGTTAACAATAAAATTTTCTAAAAATTCAGACGATATATATATATATATATATATATATATATTGGATGATAAATTATATAAAAACTGTCCAATTGTTCTTTCGGCTATACATTTAGTCATTTTTAAGGTTGAATTATATTAACTGTTAACAAGAAAACGTTATATAAATACATATGTACAACAAGCTATTTCTTGTTAACAGTTAATATATTTCAACCTTTAAAATGGCTAAATGTATAGCCGAAAGCTCTCGGGTAAAAAGAACATTTGGACAGTTTTCATATAATTTATCAACCGAAAAGAAAAAAATTATTAGATCACCTGAGAAATTCTATAAAAAACTAAATCAAAGCACCTTGTCTGTAGTATTCAAGGAAATGTGCATGAGAGAAAGACTGCTTCCTAAATAAACAAATATATATATATATATATATATATATATATATATATATATATATATATATATATATTATAATTATAAATTAACTGATTTAAAATATGGTTTCTTTGCTACACAGTAATAACCATGTTTCAAAATCTGAAGCTAAAAACTTCAAATTTAATTATGTAATTAAATTAAAAGCATTAGTTTTGTTTCATCTTCAAGCGAATTGTAGAATAATTTATTATTTTGGAATAAATTAACATATTGTTTTGGAATAAGTTAAGTTATTTTTTTGGAATAAGTTAACTTAATTTTGAATAAGTTAACTTATTTTCGAATAAGTTAACTTATTATTTTTGAATAAGTTATTCCAAAATTAAGTTAACTTATTATTTTATTATGAATTTATTGAAACAAAGTATCTATAAGCAACAAACAAAATGTTGTTAGCAACAAGAAGGATTTAGAAACACTGTTGTATATTCATATGGTCAACTGAAAAAATATGTTAATTACTTTATGTTTGAAGAGAATATTTCACATGTAGAAATATATATATATATATATATATATATATATATATATTTATGCATATCACCCCCAAGCAAAGCATGAGTGGCATCAGCAAACAATGTGTTACAAATAGTGAGAGTAAGAGTAAAGAGAAGTGTTTAGGAAAAGGATAAAGAGAAGGACAGGGATCAAAGGTCAATGCATCAGAAGATGTCAATTGACATTACATTTGAATATTTGAAGATTAAAGCTATCAGGGAATCAAGTGATAAGAAGGTCATTCCACTAACAGGAAGTATGAAATAAGAAGCAGTTGGAGTAGAAGAGATTGCTACATTTAGTTATTTTGACAGTGAAAGGTTGGGACCAAGATACCAACATTAAAGCTTAAATTCATGCAGTTT